GTGTGTGTGTGTGTGTGTGTGTGTGTGTGTGTGTGTGTGTGTGTTCTCCATGGACGCAGGTCTTTAGTGGGAGATCTGCCCCCAAGGCCAGGGGCTGTGACAGCCTCAGCCCTGCCTCACCCTGCTCCTCACAGATCGATGTCAAGAACGCCATCGTGCTGTTCTCCCTGTCTGCGGCCGGCGTCAACCAGGAGCTCGCCCTCTCCAACAGGCTGGGCCGCGCCCCCGGGAACCTGATGGGTTCCTACCGCTCTGCAGAGGTGGAGGCGGGGGAGGCCCAAAGGCAGGAAGGGTCCCGCTCAGGTGGCATGCGGGCGCTCTTCAAGCCCATTGACGCAGACACCATTGACATCTACGCCCGAGCCGTGTTCCCAGCAGCCTTCGCCGCGGTCAACATCATCTACTGGGCCGCCTACACCATGTGAGGGGGTTTGTCTGGGAAGAGGACGTGGGACCTCCCTTGAACCCGCCAGCCCGCTCTGTGCATTTCAAAGTGGGGTGGCAGCAGACCACAGGCAGGTGGCGAGCATGGTCCCCAGGCTTGGTCCCTGGCTCCTACCCCATCATGAAGACCAGCTTCTCCCATAGAGGACCGTTGTGCAGACAGAGCCAGGCGGGATGGAACCACGCTCTTCCTGACCTGGCCCTGTGGGGTGGGCCCCCAGCCGCCAGGGAGAGCAAGGACTGTGGACTCAGACCATGACTGCTCCTTGCTGCCACCGTGGACAGAATGGTGGAGAGGGGTAGCCTGTGTTGAGGGCTCTTGGGTCCCTGCATGAAATAAAGTCACCCTCCATCCCACAAGGGCATGGGGGTCTCTCCCCTGTGCCTGGAGCCCCTGCCCAACCCCTTGGAGAGCTCTAGTCCCCAGCCTGGCAGACTGGCAATGTGTAAGCAGAGGCAGCCCATGGAAGTCCCAGGGTGGAACGCAGCCAGTGCCCCTGGTGCACCAGGGAGCTGAGGGTCCTGAGAGAAGGAGGCTGGAACTGGGACTGGGCAGGACTCCACACAAAGTGTCGCCGTCTCCCGGGGCTGCCCGACCCGAATCCCACACACTGGAACCAGAGCCTGAATTGGTTCTTTCGTGCATCTGGAGGAAGGGCCTTCCGTGTCTCCCCAGCTTCCTGGGCTTACAGATGTACCATCACATGGCTGGCTTCCCTCTGTCTGTCTCTGTCTCTTCTCAAGCACACTACTCCCGTGGGACAAGGGTCCACCTTGGTCAGTCTGACGTCCTGTTCATCTCACCTGTGACATCCTGGTTCCAAGCAGGGCTAGGGGCAAAGATATGGGGGCAGGACTTCAACACCTTTCAGCACTCAACACATGTCAGCCCTCAGCGGAGAGGAGCACATTGTCTCCTGTAAGTAGCCTTTGATGGGCCCACTTCTCGGGTGATGGCCAAGTTCAGACATGTGCCCTACCCCCTCATACAAAGGGCGGAGGTAGAGCTGGCTGACCTAAAGCCCACCACCCTTCCTGTCACCCTGTGGCCACTGGAGCCAGAGCCAGGGCAAGTCCAGAAGCCCCTGGCATCTGCTGGGCCATTCTCTGTCCCGAGGACATGCCCGTGTCCAGAGAGATGGGTGGGCAGCACGTCTCAAGCTCTGGATAAGGGTCTGGTTTTCCAGCACTGCGGTCACTGCGCTCTGAGAGGCAGCAGGGCAGCAGGGCAGCAGCTTAGCGCAACAGCTATGTCGGCTGTATTGTCTGATTCAGGCTCCCAGGCCCCAGGGACCCCCTTCCGGAGGAGCCCTCCTTCCCCAAAACACAAGTCTGGGAAGCTCGGTGGTGACTTTATGGGAATCAGGAAAAGCCTAGCTGGGCCATCTATCCCAAGGCCAACTGCTCACCGTTAGAAGCCATCAGGTTCAAGGGCCAGGGTGGCAAGTCACTGAGGGTGACTCAGAGAGATCACACCACCACTGATGCTGAAGTCCTGCAGGCTAGGGACACCACTTACATCCTGGGAAGAGGAGGACATGACCCTGGGCCCACACTGGGCCCAGCCTCCAGCTCCACCCTGTATCACCCAAACCCCTTAAGGACCCCTTCCATGAGCCTGCCCCTCTGCCTCCCACTCTGAAGAAGAGGAGGAGGAGGGGCGGCCCAGGAATTTCAGGCCTGGTGCAGTCAGACCTCAGCAGCAAGGGAGCAGGTGGCCAGGAGCAGGAGGGCCGGATCTGGGTCAGCTGGGCCTCAGGCCACCTCCAGAAGGTGGGGAGGACACCGGCCAAGGCCAGCCTATCAGAGAGGGGCCCTGGGTGGTAGAGGCACCACGCCCAGACTGTGGGCTGAGCCAGGGTGCTGCCCTAGCATGGGGACATCACCTGTACCATGTGCCCAGAGGCACCCCGCCCCTCTCCTCCTCCTCCTCTTCAACTCCAACTTCCTTTGGCTGTCCTGGAGAGCAGATGTAGCTGAGCTCTATCTAGCTACCTGGCCGGGCCAAGACAGCCCATACCCTCTCCCACTGCTGGGGGACCAAGCACCCTTGAGGCCTGAGCAAGGCAGGGCAGCCCACTCCTGGGATGTTCGATGGGGCTGGGGCCCAGAACTTCGGGCTGGCCTGGGTCGACCTCCCTGCGGCTGGGACCCTGCCTCCAGCCCTGTGCCTGGCTGCCTGCATTGCCCTCTTTCTGTTGCCGCAAGCCCACGAGGAGCTATTTAAAGCAGTCTCTGTGGTTGCCTGGGCCCGCTGCAAGGCACAGCCCACCCCCAGAACCTGCGCCTGTGCATCTCGCTCCCCGCTTGCTCCAGGCTCCGCTGCTATTTCTGCCCACGTGTTACAGGGCCGGTAGCGCGAGCAGGGAAGGCTGGTGCTTTTTAAACACTGAGTTCTATTTCTGTAATGATGATCTGAGCAGATTAAAAGCTGTACCAGAGTTTGCAGCTGAGCTGGCCCGCTGGGGAGGGGGCACTGGCGTTCCCTGTGGCGGGAGGTGGGGGGGGCAGAGGCCAGGGTCGGTGTTTCTCTCCTGTGTGGGGAGGTAGGGAGAGCTTGGCCACCTGTGGGGAGAGGTTGGGGTGTGTGTGTCGAGCACTAGACTTGTCAGTGTGTCCCCAAGTGTGGAGCCAGCTCCTCCCCAGATCTGGAGGTGGCCGATGGGGGCCTGAAGGGTACTGGCTCTTCTCCCGCAGCCCTGTTCACTTAGGAATAATAGCATGAGCACTAACTACACCCCAGGCATCTATCTGCTCTGCCCGACCCTTCAAAGTCAGGTTTACAGGTACCCCCAACCAAAGCCTACCCCCTGCGGGTGTCTTCCTTAGAGTCCCCATTAAAGCAGAGCCTAAGACGTGCTGAGGAGTCCCTGGGGAAGTGCAAACAATTAAATACTTGGTGATTACTAAGGGTTGGCGGTTTGAGCCCACCCAGCGGTGCCTTGGAATAAAGACCTGGTGATCTCATCCCCCAAACACAGTCACTGAAAACCCAAAGGCTCACAGTTTGACTCTGATGCACATGTGGTATCCTAAGGGGCAATCAACGTGATGGCAACCGATGGGCACTCCCCCTGAATTGCCAGTGGGAAATGAGTCATGATGGCTCGGTGGGGGTCGAACTCTCACCTTCCAGGCAACTGAGCCTTTCTCTGGGAACGATGCTGAGATTTGTTCAACTCAACAGCAACACACAAGCCTCCTCCATTGACAGCCAGGCGGGGGTTGTGTTGAGGCAGATGGAGGAGACTTGGACCTGCAACTCCCTTGGGTAAGGTGAGAATCCTCCCACGAAACCACCCCTGCCCCTTTTCTCAGGATAACCAAGGTCAAGTAGCCCCACCAGACTGTGCCTGCTGGCCGACCAGCACTCAGAGCTTGACGCTTGTTGGAACTCTACTGTATGCCCTGGTAGAACCTTAGGGGTGCCACTGCGTGGTGTCCCATGTCAGTTAATCGGGTCCCCGGCAATCTGTGATCTACTGGCACAAGCAGAGCCCCTTGAGCAGGGAAGGCTAAGTCCGTACCTGTAGTGTCAGTTGTAGGGACAACGAGTCATTATTGCCTCCAGGGTGGTAAGGGCTTGGGGTGCTTGTTGTGCAAGAAGGTGCTGACTGGTTTCTCCAGGGGTGGTACCCTGTTCAAAGGGCTCAGCACAAGTAGCTAGATTAGTCCCGGTGAGAGGAAGCTTGGGGACTGGTCTCATGCCAAACTTCATTCCTGTTCACCAGCTTGGTGTGCAAGCACTGAGTGGCCGAGGACAGAGGCAGGCTGGTCTCCAGTGGCGGGGTCATCCAGGGTCCACCCAATCGCTTGTTACCCTCTTGGGCAGTTGCCTTCTCTAATGGGCACTGATAGGAATCAGAGATGTGCACCCTTGATGTCTGCTCTCAGTGTTCCCCACATATCTCTTCTCCATCCCAGACTTCCCTGACTCTGATTATGCTCCTTCTGGGTCCCTGAGCAACAGGTCAAGCCACTTGCTATGGTCCAGGAGTCTCTCTGCTCCCTGCCTCCAAAGCACGAAGCCAGCTCTACTGCTTAGGTTGCTGGCCCGGAGAGAAACTCTCATCTCCGCTTGTCTGAGGGTCTTCGTGCTGTCGTACCAGACACACTGCAGGCAGGTGGCTATAAAGAATAGGCATTTTCTCCCTGTTCAAGAGGTTGCAAGTTCAAATTCAGGGCACCAGCAGCTCCAGGGGAAGGGTCTCTTGGTGTCAGCTGTTGCGGGAGATCTTGGGTCTTTCAGCTTCTACAGCCCTGGCTTTCTTCACTTTCTTGGCAATTTACAGGTGACATCTGGCTCTCCTCCTCCTCCTGTTTGTGCTTGCTGGTCTCTGTGTCTCTTCATCTCTTTATAGAATGGAGAGGTAATGAGGTTTAGGACTCACCCTGCATGGATATGGCCTCATTAACATAACCAAGAAGATCAAGTTCCCAAATGGGATAACACCCACAGGTAGAAGGGTTAGAATCCCATTACTTAACTTGGGGGGGGGGGGGATACAATTCAATCTCTAGCACTACAGTTCCTTAAATTTCCCGTGCATAAGACTGTGCTGTGGAAACAACCTATTATCACCTTCAACCAGCCACCCAACAGCCTTGAGCTGGACTTAGGGAATGTTCTCCTGTCTCAATCAAGCCATAGATCTGAGCTGAGGGAGTGGTGGTCATGCAAGGAGAGCATTGGCAGAAGCATCTAGGCCTCCTTTGATGGTACTTCTTGACCCTCCGGGCTTGCTGGGTGCTGGTCCCACACGAGCCGCTGGTATTTCCATGGCTTCTTGGATGGCTGCTACCTCCACCCAACTTTGACTTGGTAGAACTGGAAACACTCCACTCACGATGGGCAGGTTGGGTTGTAGAACCACGTGATGCCCCATGGTCACACACGACTCTGCTTCTGCTAGGGCCCTGCAGCTTTTCACCCAGTGTAGGCTACAGGGCCTCAGCCAGCACCCTAGGGTGGTCTCCAATCGAGATTACACACAGCCTCTACCTCCACCATGCACGTCTCCAGCACTGCGGCATCTGCCGGTCCCAGGGCACAAGTGGCAGAACTGCCACCAGGACCTGCTGCAGAGCTCTTTCCTGCTCTGGGCCCCTGAGTCCCTTGGTGAATAGATCAAAGCGACATTCTCAAATGTGGCATTTGTTGCCTCCCAAACGCAAAGACACCCATCCAGGACTGCATCAGGGTGCAATAATTTGCCCTTTACCTAAGGGGCAACTGTCCCCGGAAGGAGCCCTAAAGACATGGGGGATATGGTGGAACCCTGGATCATTGGCGCATCAAGAGTCTTACCATGACATATTGATTACTCACCACTTTCTCTGCACCAGATTCAATTAGCATGATGTCACCCATGTGATGAGCCCATGTGACAGTCTTTCCAGGTACAGATGCAAAGAGATGTGGAAACAACAAGAGAGTTAACGTGACAAGAGCGTGGCATGCTGAGGGTAGCCTGCCATGTAAATGCCAGTGATATTCAATCAATTATTTTCCCGATGGAGGCTCAAAATAGCACATTCTCCAAATCAGTCTGCGTGCCAAGTGGCAGAGATGGTATCAGTTGTTCCAGTGACTGTAGCTGAGTTGTTGCAGACAATATTAGCTACTTTCCGTTTCTAATATTCATTGCCATGGCTGCATCGAACTCATGGACAATAGCAATGATTACAGGGTTTCTTGAGGACGTTAACAGGTTGCAACCCAAGGGAGAGATATCTAGGATTCGGCCGTTCATCAAGACAAAGTTCTTTCAGGGCTGCTCCTAAAATCCCCAAGGGCGTGCCATTCTGCTCAACCGGAAAGTACTCAGCTTAAGCCTTGTGGTTTAAGCAAACCCGGTTCCCTGAATTCAGTGCCCAGAGGCACCCACGCCAGGAAGTTACAATCCAGCCTCAGCTCCACTTCTGTGGGTCAGAGAGCTCCCACATTACATGGCCAGAGGCAGCCCTGTCCACAGGCCAGCCTCCTGCCCCCACGCACTCAGCTTTGCTTGTTCCTGGGCTGGGAAGTCCGCCACTCTGTTTCATGCCCTCGCTCCTGTTTCTGCTGCCGTTCCTCTGACGTCAAAGTTGTCTTTGGATCCAGGTGGTTCACTGCACAGGGATCTCGGGGTCCAGAGGATACACTCCACTCCTGGCTCTTGCTCTTCCCCTCTCCTACTTTAGAGGGACCAGCAGGCTGGAATTTCATGGAATCGTGCTCACAATGTGAATCCTATCAGCATCTCCCCCCACCTTTTTACCCAGGCCCATGGAGGAAAGGGTTGTTTGGTGGGAGTTAGAGATGTGGGGGAGAAAGGCCACATTACATAACTCACTGCCGCTGGGAATTGTATCCGGCACAGAGGCATTTGGAATGGCTTGTTGTTCTTGCCAGTGAGTCCCCTGAGACTCAGAGCATCTGTATAGCGCCAGCAGCAGTGACAACATGGCCTGGCCGTGTGCCATCCTCGAAACGGTCATGTTTGCGCCCTTCATTGCAGCCAGGGTGCCAGTCCGTCTTGTCAAGGGTCTTCCTCTTTCTCAATGTGCCTCTACTTGACCAAGTTCATGTCCTTCTCAAGGAACTGGCCCCACCTGATACCGTGCCCCAAGTGTGTAAGACCAAGCCTCGCCATACTAGGGTCAAAGGCAGCGGTTCTCAACCTGTGGGTCACGACCCCTGTGCTTTACTAGCTTGGGCAGAAGTAAGAGCTGTTCCTTAATGTTGACTTGGCCTTTTCTACCGCTGTGTCTCTTGCTCCTAAACCAGTGAAAACAACGAGAGGATTCTGGGAGTTGATAAGTAAATCCATCTCGTTGTGAAATGACTAGAGGATGGGTCCAAGTCCCGCCCTACACACACACACACACACACACACACACACACACACAAACCAAAAACCAACACCACAACAAACTCATGGCCAGCGAGTCCATTCCAACTCAGAGTGACCCTACAGGACAGAGTACAACTGCCCCCACTGGGTAGACTGTCAATGAGACTGTCATTCTTTTTTTTAAATCATTTTATTGGGGACCCTTACAGCTCTTAGAACAATCCAGACATCCATTGTTTCAAGCACATTTGTACATATGTTGCCATCATTCTTTTCAAAACATTTTCTTTCTACTTGAGCCCTTGGTATCAGCTCCTCTTTTTTCTCCCCTCCCCCCCTCAGCCTTCCACCCACATGAACCCTTGATGAATTATAAATTATTATTTTTATATCTTACACCATTTGTTGTTCGTCACCCTAGTTGGAGTTGGGGGAGTTTAATATGACCACGATCCTTGTGATCGGTTCCCCCTTGGGACTGTAACTCTTTACAGGAGTAGAAAGTGGCTTTTCTTCCTCAGAGTGGCTGGTGGCTTTGAATTGCTAACCTTTGTGGTTAGCAGCCCAGGGGAAATGCACTACTTTGACTGTGAGACAGATATGGC